ATATACAGTTCACATAACCCGACCAAAATTAATATATATAAACACTTGAAGATCCACTCATTACTAAAAGTGTATGTCATAAAAAACTAAAGTAATGGTCACAGTGAAATTTAAGGTGTACTGATCACGTCGTCAACTTTAAGAACCAGATCTGTGTGCTAGGTACCCCAACAGAGGGGGGACCAAACATGGGGACGGTACAGAACGGTTCCATTGGTACCATCCACAACTTTTCAGTGAAAACAGAAAAAATGCGTACCGAACTGAGCTGTTATGCACTGTACTGCTCAGTGGAAACGGCTTAAGTGGACAGAGAGCAACACATACTGTACCACACAGTACTGGGCAAGAAGCTGTTCAGCAGAGACTGGTAGTCTGACGGTATTATATAATAAATAAAACATCCTGATGAATCAATGTACGGTTTTGCTGGGCATTACAGCTACCAAGCAACAGAGAGGCATTTACCTTAGAAATCAAACTTTTCACATTAAGGCTACTGTATTGCACCTAATGGCTCGAGAAGAATCTGAATGGATGTGTTAAATCCTTGGGACTGTAAGAGAACATTTTAGTAAAGGGGTTAGTGAGAATGTAGTCAAAGTCATGTCAATGTTTTGTTTCGTTGGTGTGCTGACAGGCCTATAATGTGGGCAGGCACTGATCATAGTTATAAACTGTCTCCTACGGCGTGCACAGTTCTGCATAAAAGCGAGCTGGACCAATGCTCTGTGGAGGCTGAAAGATGATGAAAGAAAGAAAATGTATTTTAATGAAACCAAAAATTCATAGAGGTCCAGAGAAGTTTCACTGTGCAAGGCAAATCTCTGTAGTCATTGTAGTTTTGTAGAAATCTGCAATTTGCTCCATTTTCCACTAGAATTTTACTGCATTCATCAAGATGGTTTCATTTTTTTCCCCCTCTTGTTTTCTTGGTAACCATTAACTAAAATGCTACAGGGACAATCTGCATCTGCCTGGAAGCGCTGCCATAGGGCTGAGCTGGCAGGTTGTGAGAAGAGGTCGGATTTACAATAGACGTATGAAACCACCTTAGGGTAAGTGGTAAAATATGACCTGCTTTGCATTTCCCTTTCAAAATGTCCACTGTGAGATGTAAAATAAGGACTTAACATTCAGCAGTTTACTCCACTACATCACACAAAGCTGACAAGAACTTGCCTCAGTGTGTTGAAGACAAACACTGGACTAAGGCAACAAAAACATCCTCAAATTAGCGAGGCAAGGTCAGTCGGGTGATCCAAAGTCCACAATTAAAAAAACCCCATAATAACAGGGAAAATCATCAAAAAGTGGCAGATATGTAGAGCTCAAAGATAGTGAGCTCAGCTCTCGTACTGCCTCAAGACAGGTGCAGTGATGACAGCGAGCGGTTTCATCTGTATTTGTGACAACTGACTCTGGTATGCATGCCATGTAGTTGACAGAGCAGAGGGAGGAAACTGGGGCACAGAGCTGCATGTATACTAATGGTGTTTGGTTTTGTATTTATGTGACTGGGAACACAAAGCTGCTGAGTTTCAGTACTTCTCACTATGCGTCTGCAGTGTAACCTCACTTCAGGAGGAAATATTTCTAAATCCTACTGTGCTCATACAGAATATTTTATAGTCAAAATCACAGAAGTGGATGAAAGACACTGGTGTTAGAATGAGGGATACATTCATTATATTACCTTCGGAGACAGTTTGGATGTGAAGTCTCCTCCGAGGTCGTCCTGCGGTGTGACCAGACCAGATGAGTTGTACACTTTGATCTTCAAGTTGGGAAGAGGATCCAGGAGAGGGGAGTTGGTCATTGGGATTTTATCTGACACATCGTGGAGGGCATACACAGGACCCCGATACATGGCAGCTGCATTTGTCAAGTCAGGAGGAGCTGTCAGTAGATCAGCTAGAGGGATAAAGCGAAAGACAGAGGGAGACAGAGAAGAGACACAAGAAGGAAAGAAAATATTAATAGGAGAAAATACAACACGAATAGCACCGATCAAGTTTTCAAAAATGCTTGACTGTTCTGCTCACAGGGTCAGAGAAAATGCTGTCTGACTGAGACAGAGAGTGAAAATAAAAAGGTAAGGCTAGACACTTTATATCCTCAACAGAACTGCAACACATGGCTGCAGTGTGTGACAGATGTGGGGAACTTGTAGATCAGTGAGCAGGAATAAGGGGAGTAAGACGAGAGCAGGCAAGGTTGCTGATAAGGTATCAGTGTCTGGTATGATACATTGCAGTACACAGGGGCATGACCTGGATCAAGGACTAGTCATGGCTGCCGCACAGAGAGGTAGAAAGCGAGAGGGAGTAGATTGTAAGGGTGATGTTTAGACTTCATCTCAAAAAATACATAAGTAACTGTAATAGATCATATTTAAATTTATACACCATAAAAACTAACTCCCTTATATCAAAACTGACCTCACTTTAAACTGTATAACAGAACAGCATAGCTTCATCTCTTCCATTCAGCTCATCAAAACGTTGTCAGCAACTCTGACTTCACCCACACAATCAAAGAAGCTGTCACACTTTAATCACATCACTGTCTGTTTTCGAAATGCTGCCGATGTCACGATTCAAATCTGACTGACAAAACCTGCTGTGCACATTAAGCACAAAACATAACAGTGTTAACTGACAATGACAATTTGAGTTGAGTTAATTAACATTCATCCAATTATACTGCTGGTCTGAAAATCAGTCTTTTACTCTCAATATCATTATATTATACTCTCATGATGTACAATATGTAGTTTATTTAGAATAGAACAAGTAAGATGACACATAATGTGCAGTATTCAAGCAAACCTTAAAATCAGTAGGAAAATCACTCTCAGTAGTCTAAAAGGTTTCTAAAAGGTTGCCTCTCTAACCTTTTAAAAATACAATCAAATGTGGTTAGATCACATTCCCCATCATATTGTGCATCTACTGAACAATATATGCACAAAAAAATACTGAAAATACATTTCAGTCAAAAACACTTTAATCAAAGAAAACTTTGCATTTGCAGTATCATATTTGGTGGTATGGCTCTGTTCTGGGGTCTCTCTGACTTTCCTAGGCCTACAAAGAAAGCCTCTACCAAGCGTCCATGTGGAAAGCCTAAGGTGGAGAGAGAGCACACCTTTCTGCCCTTCCACGTGCCTACATGGAAAGCCTTAAGGCACAGAGAGCACATCTATCTGCCCTTCCATGCACAAATGAGGAAAGCCTGTGGCAGAAAGACCAACCTCCCTGCCCTTCCATATGCCTACATGGAAAGCCCAAGGCAGTAAGAGCAGCAGCAAAGACCCCCGGGAACAGAATGACATTGATAAGTCAGACACAGCATGAAAAGGAGGAGCTGGGGTGGAGGCAGGTTGCAAAGCAGCTTGCAGAGGAAGCAGCAACAGTGGGCAGGCTAGAGCAGTTTAAATAGGGCACCCTGAATGAAATTGGCCAATTGGTTACAGAGAAAGGAATCACGTGATCTATCAGCTGACTCCCTTCCATCAATCAGCTGCTCCATCAGTTGATTGGGCTGTTTGAGATCAGCTGATGTAGCTGGGATGTGAGCTGAGCCTCACATCGTGTCCTGCCTGAACTAATGCTATGCTCAATTTCCTCATATTGTTACATCAAAAATAAATTCATGTATTCTTTCTCTTAAAATATGACATATGCTAACTTAAGCTAGTACCAATCAGTTTCAGCCAATATTATCCCAACAGCCACCCATCAACCACTCAATCTGCAACAATTAGCTGCACATAGCTAAGATTAGCTAGCTAGTAACGGCATGTCGCTGTGTCTTTGTTTCCCCCCAAAAAGTAGTTACAGGACCACGGGCTAAAAGTTATTCACACTGAGGAAAGTGGTATCTGTGACAGCTCCAGATTATACACAAGGCACTTTACAGCAGACTGCTTCAGTAAGTGTACGGAGCATACGACGGGCTTCATCTCTCTCTGACAGATAATATTATCTCTTACACCTTCAAAAGGCCTCACTGTTATGACACGCCCACTTCTGAACAATCAAAGCAAATTCCTCCTACAGTTAAATCTTACCTGCCTATTCTGTTTCCCTCTGACATACATCACAAAACTACAACTAGATACTCTCGGAATGCCGTTTCGTCTGGACTTTAAAGCTACCCAATGTGACTTCTGTCAAATAGCGGCCACTGTGGCCACAATTGGGAATTACAGAACAGTGGTGTATTGAATTCATCTTCATTTTCAGTAGCTTTAAAGACTTCATCATGTTTATCTGTGAGATGCTGAAATGCAGTGTAACAGGGGCACAAGTATTCAAAAGCAATAAAGTCAGCAAATTTACTTGATAAGCATCTCTCTAAAGTTTGATAACCTTGGCAACCACATGCTACAGGTCACACTAGATCAAGTGAGGCTCTAGCAGCAAAACTGTTTTATTTCCTCTTTCTTAAGTCACACAGTCTTGTTTTAAACAAAGCAGTAAATTGATCTATGCTATCTTATAAATCATTTGTGGATGGAATCAACAATGGAATGGAAATGAAACTCTCACCAGTGCTGGGTCAGATGTGACTTGAGGCTACTGAGTGGATTCTGCTGTACTAGTTGTGTATGAATCCTGATGTTTTACACTGCTCTTTGTGGAGTTGCCGCAGCTGATGCTAATGGTGGAAACTTTTCATGTACTGCAAGCAAACACTCAAGCGGCTCACTTATACACACATATACGAGCACTGTCATGAATAAAACACATCTGCAATGTTAAACATGGGCACTGCAAAAGCACTCACATATGCAAACATGTGTCCTGCATACCAACAATGTGTACACTACGCTGTACACACTCATGCACACACAGTATGTGGGAATTACATGATGTCAGTGGGGATGGATAGGTAAAGCTCTCTGAGACTCCCCTCAGTACTCATCATGGATAGGTGAGTGTGAGCCAGAGGGCAACAGCAGGAGCATGGCAACTGCTAATCAGTACAGTATGCTAATCCATTCACGTGCAATATTTAAGCACTGTTTACAGTATGTCAGTTAGTAACAGCAACAACCTTGCTCTACCTTTAGCAATCACTCTATCCTTTTGACACTTGCAACCTTAGCAGGTTTAATGTTTTGATCTTTGGCAGGGAATTCTCAGTAATACACAGTTTTGTAGTCAAGCAGCTAAAAAACCTTTGCAGTGAAAATATTAGTAACAATTTAAAAACAATGCCTTGACTTCAGTTTGTTCCGTCTGCCAGAATGTCAGCCTCGCTTCCTCCTGGGTAATTGGAAAGATGCTGCAGCCAAGTGCTGCTGAATGTAATAATAAAACATTTGGCAATATCAATAAACAGTAAATCCTACATGGGAGTTTACTTTACCAAAGTGAATCAAGGGAATGTGCTCCAAGTGACCCGCATGGTCAGTCACTCTTGTGGCTAGTTTTATTCAACTATCTTGCTACCACCTTTTGGCTTATAACAATGTACTTTAGGGGTAGAAAAGTATAAATCTGTGTATATAAACAATCTGAATACATATAATATGAATATATACATATTTATATATATCTCCCTGGTAACACATATCCACTGTGGACCCTTAGGCAAGGTTCTTGATGCTGCTATCCTACCTCAGGACGGGTGAAAAGGCAAATGCAAAAGTCATAGCGACTCTGACATCACCTGGGTCAATAAGTACCACATCAGGTGTAGAAGAACCAAGGCAACCTGATGAGAAATGGACTACTGGAACAAGATATAGATGGAATAGAGCAGACAATATGGACCTGTTGGAATGCTACCATTCAACTAACCCCATTGAGAAGGGCTACATGCAGAGGTTGCGGGATATATGGATGCTTCAAAACCCAACATCTAGATCGAGGTAAGATGTAGCAATCCCGAGAGACAGCAACATCAAGAAGAAGGGACATAAGAACTCGAAAAATACCATGGGCTGAAAGAGGAGCTAGAAAAGATGTGGGGAGTAAGGGCAATATTGGTGCCGGTGGCAAGAGTAGGCGGCAGTAGCTCAGTCCATGGGGACCTGGGTTGGGAACTGGAGGGTCGCCTGTTCAAGTCCCCGTCTGGACCAAAATATGGAGCGTGGACTGGTGGCTGGAGAGGTGCCAGTTCACCTCCTGGGCAATGCCGAGGTGCCCTTGAGCAAGGCACCGAACCCCCCAACCGCTCGGAGCGCCTGTCATGGGCAGCCCCACTCTGACATCTCTCCACTTAGTGCATGTATAGGTCCAGTTTGTGCATGTGTGTGTTTAGACCTGTGTGTAATTGACAACAGAGTGAAAAATTGAATTTCCCCTCGGGGATTTATAAAGTATATAAAATTAAAAAATTAAAATAAAAAAAAAAAAAGGCCAGTTACCTACTGAGGACAATTCCAGATTTGTTCGCACTCGGCTCTATTTTTTCTTTATTTTTTTGGCTGAGGAGCCTGAAATCCTGTCGTTCCCTCCACGAACCCATCCATTCTAATTTTAAAATCCCTCATTATCACCCCCCCCCCCCCCCCCCCCCCCCCCCCCCACACCCACCCACACACACACATCTGTCACCTATCACTCTCTCCCTCTCTCTATCACCAGGCTGTTTACCCTTAAAGCCAGCGGGTATTCCTGCCAAATCATCCCTGCTGAAATTTAATTAACAACTAACGGAAAGCCACAGAAAGAGAGGGAGAGTGACAGAGAGAAAGAGAAAGACACACAGAGAAAGAATCAGAATGAAGAAATAAAGGGAAGAAAGCGAGAAAAACTGAAAACAGAAAAGCAGCCCTTTTCTGAAACAAGTGCACATTCGTGCCTGTCAGAGGGGGACAGAGAGACAGAGACTCAGGGACATAATTCTTCATTAATAGTAATCGTAGATGGTCCCTCAACGCAGAGTGACAAGCATCCTAATGCTTCGCTGATAAAATGTCACCCAATCTCCGCTCATGCAAAGGCATTCGCCCTTGTGTACATGCGGGCACGTACATGCATCCACGTACACACACACAATTATTTTAGCTTGCTGTTTACCAATTTGCGTTGCATCCTTTATGACCTCACTTTCCTGTTTTTACTGTACACCATGATATGAATGTTAATCATCCACCTACAACCGACCACATACAGAAACTATGTAAGTATCCTTTTAAAGGTATTTTGTAGATTGTAGATGTCACTCAATTTGATCAACACAAAATCTGTGTTGTAGATGTAACCACAATATTTAATTCACATTTATGGGCATGTCTGTTTGCTCATGTGCTTACGGCCTGCATGGATGTTTTTCTGAGCAGGTTTATTGATTTTTTTAGGGGTTTTAAGCCAAATATTGTTTTGTCATGTATCTGACACAGCCTTACAGGAAAAGCCAGAAGTTCATGGCGTCTGCGGACTGATCCCCTGATTCATCCATGACCGCTGTCCAATCTCGGCATTTCCAGTAAGCTACTGAGAGCATGCACACGGGTGCATGAGTGTGGGTGGCTACATGCTTTTTGTTGTCTCATTCATTTCCCAAAGACAGAGAGTAGGAAATGACAACACAGACAGAGGAGAGTGAACGATGGCTCCACTCTAACTGGGAAACAAACAGGGAGCGAGAGTCTGCTGCGGTAGGAGTCACTGTGACGGGAGAGAGGCGGAGACACGGGCGAGGGGAAGACAGAGACACGGAGACGGAGATGAAGAGAGGAGGATGCTGATAAACAGGAAATGTGATTGACCTGAATGTGCAGATGGGTAGGGAGAGAAAGAAAGAGTGAGACAGAGGAGGAGAATGACAGAGAGAGACTCCTTGATGGAGGAGAGTGGTCTCTGGTAGAGACAGAGATTAATCCAAAGCAGCAGAGATTGACAGCTAAAGGCTGAGGAGGGAAACAAAATGATGGTAGCTTGAAAGCCTTAAAGAGGACAGAGGCGTGATCAAGTCTGGTATTCTGTATCCACCTATCAATCCATGCATCTGTCCCTCTAACTATCCATCTGCCTGTTTATCTATCTATCTATCTATCTATCTATCTATCTATCTATCATTGTGTAATGCACTGAATCTGTAGTCCTCTTTTTGTGAGAGTGTAAAAAGAGGCAGACACTTGCTGTCAAGTTCCTCCTCAACAGCAAGTGTCCTACCAGCCTGAGTATTCTTCACATAGAGTCCCTGCCAGTCTTGAGGTTGCTGTTTTGCTGCAGACTGTGCTCTGGTCTTCCTGCATCTCCTCCGTGGAGCATCTAGGTGCCCACTCAGGCTGAAGCATATGAACTCCTGACAAACTCCCTCTCTCACTGCCACACTCCATCTTACAAAAAACATTTAAAATGAGTAGAAAGCAAGTCATTAAAAGTACTTTTTGTTTATTTATTCTGAAATCTGTTTGTGCTTTAATAGGTTTGGAAAGATGCCACTGTGCCTTAGAAACTAACACACACTGTATACTTGTCTTAATTCATTCAGCCCAGATGGAGTTTCTTTTTGTTTCTACCTCTTTTTCACACATGTAATCTTGCAATCACTATTTAAAGAGTTATTTAACACCCCCTGATAATACCCCAGTGATTTAACTTCTCACCTTGCCGCAGTGATGTTCACATGTAGTGTAGGTAATCGTGACATCACAGTTGGGTGTGATTACAGGTGCAACCAGAGAGGGCAGTGAAACACTGCTTTTCAGCCTGATGTCAGGTATCGTAATTTTTAAACAAACCAAACGCAGTCCTCTTAAAGTGCACCAAAAAGTGGACCAACAGAAAAGGGACTTCATTTGAAAGAGGACTCAGTTCTTTCTGGTCAACTTCAGCTCTGATGGGGCCTCGGTCCTCTTTCTGTTCACACCATAGTCTATATTATATGATATATACTGACATAGTTTTGGTTTTACTTCGGCGTGGCACTGGAGTGCACTTATGAAGCCCCCGCTTTCAGATGAATTTAAAATTGGAGGAAACCTTTAAAGTTGATGAATTCTACATTCCACAAACGGAGACGTGCAGTATCTTCCATGGACCAAACTGCTCCTCATCCTGTGTCCTTGCAAGCATTACAGGCCAGCGTGGATTTTGTCTGTTTTTTCAAGCACCCCAGTGCAATAGCATGTGATCTAGAGGGCTAACTGCGATGGCAAAGAGCAAAGAGAACCTGAAGCACTTTGTGTTCACAGTGCACAGGTTATGTGAACTGCACTGTGGACCTCAGACAAGCTCCTGAGGTGGACTGAGTTCTCTTGGAGCGTTCAGATATGCACAAAAAATACTGAGTCACCACTGAGTCCATTTAGAAGGCTGAAAAGGGCCTATATAGTGTAGTATTCTCCACCCTGGATTTAAGGCCATTATCTTTAACGATGCTTACCTGATCTAGCTGTTTTGATATTAACAGACTGGAAGCCTCCATTTAGTGCCGAGGTGTCGATGATGTCCGAGTCAAAGTCGCGGTGCGTCTTGCGGTAGACAAAGAGTGCCACGATGACAGAGATGACCAGGCACATAATCACTGCGATGACGATGCCCACGTAGAGCGCCACATCATCCGTACTCGGAGCAGCTAGAGGGGACACAAAGAGGAGGAGAGACACAGTTACGGATTGACAGATATTGGTCTTAAGAGGAAATACATATCAGCAAGTAAAGTGGCCATGAACAGCTCCAACAATGATAATTCTTAAGGAACAGCAGAGCAGTGGCAGAGAACAAAGCAATATTTTTTTATGCAAGATGAGATGAAATGTGGTGCAGGTTTCAAATTAACTCGATATAGCTCTCTGTCACTCCTAATTTGCGTTCAAATATCTCACTCCTGCCTCAGACCACCTATTGGACTCAAAAAGGACAATCTCTATAGGTTCCATTTCAAATGAAACTTTTAAATAGCCCCTCAGCTTGTGTAATATGATCATTTGTCTAGACAGGGGGAGCGAGAGACAGAGACACCTTTCATAAGAAAAAAAGAATGGTAGCAACTCTTAAAACTTAATAAGGCTGTTAATTATTTTACAAGGGTCCTAACATCCTTTATCAATCCGGCTCAGACTTTAATGGTTTTTCAGCAAGAACAACGGTGGAATTGTCATTCGTGATCTATATTTTAAAGTAGAGCAAGAAAATTTTAAGTGATGGGTGATGCTGATGGTAAAAGGTATGAGCCACACAGATTGAGCAAAAGATGAGAGGAGACAAGTTAAGCTAAGTTCGCACTACACTAATTGGGAGTGTTAAAGTTTGAGGGTGAAGATTCTTAGTCATTCAGGTAATATGATGGCCGAGTGGGTCAACGACTCACGTGACCTTTATGACTGAAACTCAGAGCTCACATGTGACTTTAACGACTCTGTAAGGCTTCACACCCACACAGAGTTTAAAACCTACAACCAGCTCAGTGGCCCAACCGTAGAGTGTCCGCCCTGAGACTGGGAGGTCGTGGGTTTGATCCCCGGCCAGGTCATACCAAAGACTATAAAAATGGGACCCATTGCCTCCCTGCTTGGCACTCAGCATCAGGGGGGAATTGGGGGGTTAGATCACCACACGATTCCCGAGCATGGCACCGCTGCTGTTCACTGCTTCCTCAGGGGATGGGTCAAATGCGGAGAACAAATTTCACACACTCAGGTGTGTGACAATCAGTGGGACTTTAACCCTGCACCAGTCTGTTAGAACCAAAGAAGACTCTTAGGTGAGAGATGAAACATCTTCAAGAGACTCAAGCAAGTCCAGGTGTCTACAATGTTGCACTTAAAAGTCTTAAAGTTTTGATTTTCACACCGTGTGACTGACCAGGAAGTTACACATTACAAGATCTGTCTTTGGGTAGAATCTCTTGTAAATTTGTCATGAAAACACACACAAGAAGTGACACAGAAAGTTATGCAATACCATGGCAAGACTGGGTTTCTTTTGTTGTCGCTGCCACACATTCTCATATGCCAACCTGTTTTCACACGTCTTTGCTATCTATAGCCTTCTTCCTCTTGGCGCAACAACAACTTTGGTTCATGTTGCAAATGCAACACATACAGAAAAGTTACTTTTATTACAGGGAACCCCTCAACATGTGTCTTGCGCTCTTATTGGCTGTTGCTCATCAACAGGTCCCTGAGAGTTACAGTTATGTTGCCTGCTAGACATCTAAGATGTGTCTGCAAAGCCGTCGTCTTAGTATAGGTCAGACATAGTGCTCGAGCACCAACTTACGAATGCCAAGCCAGTGCTGACTTGCCTCTGATCTCAGGCTTTTGTCGGGGAGCACCAAAAAACTGTCGGTGAGTGGAAAATTAGGGCTAAAGTTATGTAGTGTGGAATAGGCAGTAAAAGCACAGGGGAGTAATGATGAGGAAGTAAGAGGAGGTTGAGCCAGTAAGTGGAGAAGAATATAGAAAAGAGCACACACAAGCAGATGAAGAGTGAACAGAAAGGGAAGGGGAGTTAAAGGGAATAAAAACAGCATAAAAAAAGAGAATAAAGAAGCAAGGAAGATGAAAGGAAACAAGTAGGGCACAATAAATAAGGAGAGGAGAGGAGAGGAGAAAGAGACGGAGGTGATAACAGCAAAGACGAAGAAAACAGAACGTACTTGAACTTCAAAGCAGCGAAACAAACAATCCTACATATTTAACATGAAAGTGTCTGTGGAACTTTTTTCGAGTCGTCTCACACTTAAAGCACTCCTTGTATAATCACGTTCTCTGTAGCTAGTAGGAGGGGATTTGTCTGCAGCTATTAAGAAGAAGGCAGAAAAGTATAGGAATGCTCCTTTTAATCTGCCCTTAAAGTTGAGAGGCAGATAACAGGCTTTTAGCTACAAACAGCCTGAGTCATTTGCTAAAGGATTTGCTGTTGTCGCATCAGAACAACTTCAGAAAGCACGACTTTGATTATGCACGAAAAAATCCTTTGATGAGGCACACAGACATCCAGGCTCACATATGCCTAAGCATGAAACACACATTCGCAGAGGAGAGGTCACTCCTGGTGGTGTTAGTTACTCATTTACCACTTGAGGGGGCTATGAACCACTTCTGGTGTCTCTGGGGAGCTAAGCGTGAGGGCAAAGCATGTCCTTCTTAATTATGTGACTGTAATGAACCAAATGTCTCTGGGCACTATGTCCAGGACAAAGAAAAATTATACCCAAGGTTTCTTTTTTTTTCAGGCATTTTTATAGACAAATGACAAATCAGTTAATAGAGATGATATAAAAATACTAAAACTACTTCACTGGCTCCCTGCTGAGTTTAGGATCCAGTTCAAAATTCTCATTTTTACACACAGAGCATTACACGGTCATGCACCCTCCTATGTAGCTGAACTACCTCACCTGTATTCTCCAGCTCACACTCTCAAATATGCTACATTTGTCGTCTGCCCCTCGCACTAGTTTCCAGACATGTGGTGATCGAGCTTTTGCGGCCATAGCACCTAAATTTTGGACTGCCTGCTCCCTTACAATCTGCTGACTCTGTGGTTTCTTTTAAGACACACCTCTATCAGTGCTCTACTTTTTCAAATTCTGTGTATTGTTGTTGTGTCGTATGAATTCTTCTTTTTTCTTGTGTGTGTGCAAATTGTTTCGCTAGCTGTGCACTTTTCACAACGTGGCTCACACAGTCACTTTGTCTCTGTAATTGCTTTCTTGTTGTATATTGCCCCTGTGAAGCACTTTGTGACCTATGTCTGCCAAAAGTGCTATATAAATACATTTAAAATATGTACTTAATTCATATCTGACAGATGAATCTATAATAATAATTACAATCATTAGCTCCAGTCCTAACTGTTGTAATCTATAGTTTAACTCTGAATGTGAAAATGCCATGTAAAGTGTGTTATGTAAACCAGATTGTGGTGGAGGTACTGGTGGGGGTGTTTGCGTGACTGTCATGACCTGTCAGCTTCATTAAAAGTACATACATCTGTGATCAGTTCCCTAATTTAATTTTAACTTTAAAAATTTTTCAAATTTTTTTCCTCTTTTCCAATATCTCGTTTTATTTTATAGAAGTGATCAATTTAAGTGCACTTGTCCTTCAAACTTGATATTAAAAATAAAAGCTAACAAAATAAAAGACGCCTGGTACATTCGTTACAGGCGTATCAGTTTGTAGAACAAGTTTGTAGAACAGTTTTGAACAGTTAGAACAAGAGGCTGCACTGCAACGTGCAAATCACTCCTTCTCGTGGCTGCCTGCGCTTTCCCTGTCCTCACCGCTGCAACTTGCGCTCTCTTCATCTACTTCATCGCCACTGCTGTACACAATTTAAAAATCACAACACCCATAATTCATGTAGGAACTGCTGCAGCCAATGTGCAGCCGGTGGGAGCTGCAGGACGACTCAGCCACCATGATCAGTTTTAATGTTTTATCAGGCAATAACTACTCCAGACTCTGCTCTAGTGTAATTTTTGGAACAGTTAGGACAGGATTCAGGATTCGGGACAACTGCTTGGATTTCAGGACTGTCCTGAATTTTTCGGGACGTCTGGTCACCCTAGGTCACTAAAGAACCACCCACCTTTAGTGGTGACAAAGCTGCTGGAAATGCAGTGATGATTCACTAAAAACAACAGTGTTCTGTCACTTGGCAGGTGTCACGCCATCCACCATCCCCTCCACCTCCAAGTGACAAAGTCAGCTCATGTACTACGTCACTTTAGAAACGTGGATATGATATATGTATATGAAACGTACAAATTGAAGGTATTCGAGGTTTGCAGAAACGCACGATGCCAACATTTTCCTCTGACAACTTCGCTGATGCAGTTCATGTTAACAACTCCTGATCTGTGTTCAAGAGTTTCCCCTCTTTTTACACAGATTGATGGCACAGTGGGGGGTTTGTTACAGCAACTTAAATCACTGCCAAATATCTGTTCATCACATTTAACTCAAACTTAAGGCACTACCTCTAAATCTCTTAAGTTTAACCCCTATGGGTTCTGTCATTTGCAGTTGCCAGCTTGCTTTTGATAAAAAAAAATCCCAAATGCCTCAACGACACAGCTGCACAAAGTTGCCCTGTTATCAAGGTCCTTGCACTTGCCAAGGGGGAATAGAATTGGATAATCCTCTTAAGTACCAACTCCCTGATCTTAATTATGATCACCATCATCCTCATCTATTTAGGGAATCTTTATCTTGTTTCTACTTTAACTTGAAGGTCTATAACTTCAGAACATGTGGGGTGCCAGACAGCCATAAAAACACTTCTAAACTTGCATTTTCCATTCCTATTTTCCTTTAGAGTGTTTTGGGACACTTTGGGATAAGCTAACTAGGCTATGGCCTGCTGTGGTTTTGATGTATGTGCGTGTGTGTACTAAGCTTAACGTGTTTTATACCAGTGGGCTTAAAAATCCTTTCTTCACTGTCTATCAGTTTATATCCCATCTCTCTCAGATCTTCCTCTCCCCCCACAACTCACACCTCTCTCTCTCTGACTCCCTGTGTCTCTCTCTGTCTCCATCTGTTTGATTTGTAGATGAATGAAACAACATGTCCCATTAGAGCTTCTACCTGCCAGAGTAACCTACATATAACTGCTAGATAA